ACTACAGCCAGCCAGTTCTCCCTGTGGTAACTACAGCCAGTTCTCCGTGGTAACTACAGCTAGCCAGTTCTCCCTGTGGTAACTACAGCCAGTACTCACTGTGGTAACTACAGCCAGTTATCCCTGTGGTAACTACAGGTTGTTGCTCTTCCCTTGGTGCAAATGGCAATATCCGCTCCTTTATCCCCTGCAGACAGTCTCCTTGCTCCAAGTGGGATTATCCGCTCCTTTGTCCTCCCCTGCAGACAGTCCTCTTGCTCCAAGCGGGATTGTCCGCTCCTTTGTCCCCTTTAGACAGTCCAAATTTTGATGGGTAGTCGCAAGCCCGTGTTGGATGTTCTATTAACTTCTATAGCATTGAGGAGTTTCACAAGTCACCTGCAGAGCACGATACAGTGCCACTCAGGGTGCAGTCCTCACTCAGGGTGCAGTCCCCACTCAGCATGTAGCTGGGAACAGCCCGGGATCTTAACATCGTTTTTTTGGCTGACGTGCAACTTGCCCCGCATGGCGTAGACGGTAGACCACATGGGTGATCTGCAGATGACCGACTGATTTCTTGAGGATATTCCAGGCTTGGAACGTCATCTGCGTAACCTGCAAATTGTTGGCCATTGTCGTGCACTCCAGCCTGCTCACGGACGAGAAGGAACATCTTTCTTTTAAAAAGGGCGACGGCCTTGAGATATCATCGTTGAGGCTGACCAGCCACAGCAATTATCCCCAGGAATTGTGGAATTCTGGGCATCTGATTGTATAAGGATTCGAAAACTCGAGTCCGTATTTCAACAGGTAGTGAGTTGGTGTACCAACTGAGCTAGGCTCATTGGTACAACGACGAACATCTTTGTGCTCCCCGTTCCTCTAGTTTTCATTGAGACCTTTCTTCCCGAGTCTCTATGGTCTCGCTGCTACTGATGCTTGCCTGCTCATTCTCCCTTGCCCCCTTTCCTCGGTGTTGGACTTTCTCTTGCAACCGCCCTTCAGCTTGATGTGGATTTTCATTCCCTAGAGGCAGAGGGTAGAAACCCGAAAGTTAGAAACTATGCCACCACGGAAGGAAGGCGTGCGATCGACGTCCGACATGTAGAGCAACGAAGGCCCGCCAAGTCGGAACGGCGCCATGCTTGGCCTGGTAAGGTGAGTTCTTCCTCCTCCATCCAATCCAACATCTCTGCCTAAATTGTAGTATGTGGACCTCGGACCTGGCCATTACATGGCTATTTTTGTAGGTCCATTTTGCAGCTATTTTTGTAGGGCTTGAAAGCAAAAGTAACTGTACCAGCTGTATGTTTTTGGGAAATGGGATGATTGCTGGGGGGGGATTGTAGGTGTGTTCAGAAATTCCAAAGTAAATCTCTCACAAAAAAAAAAAAAAAAAAGGGCTATTGCCCATCTCTCTGAGGCTCTGACTGGCGGGAGGTGTGTGATGACAGCACCATGGGCCATGCCCTGATTGATTTCCTTTTGCAATGATAACCTTTTGTTGTCTCAGCAAACGTCCCCGCCCGTTTTTTTTTTTTTTTTTTTTTTTTTTTTTTTTAACCACTAGTATCTTCGCCGTGTGGGAAAATAGCGGGCCTCGGGTGGGCCTCCGACCTTTTCGGATGGCCGAAACGAAACGACGGCCGCAGATCAGATTTATCAATGGCAGCCGTCGATGGGCCCGGCCTCCGAATTTTCAGGAGTTTGGGAAAACATCCACTTTTCCCTAATTTCCCAACACTGGCGGAGGTACTATTGCTTTAACAGTCTCCACACTTCTTTGTGTGGAGGTCCTTGAAAGAAGAACACGGAAAAATTCTAAAGAATAGTTTCAGTGTGTTTCATGCGGTCTACTACATTCTTCGTTTGTTGCACGAATTGTGCTCTTTTAATTGATGGATTTTTTCAATTTTTGACAATTTGAATGTATAATATAATTAAATATATAGTACATCGACGTGAACCTAACGCGTCCTTCGGACTCCTTCCATCTTTTAGGCCATCTAACACACGCAAAGATCTCAGCAGGGTGGACTAACAACTCAAAATTCTCCAATTTGTTTGTTTGTTTGTTTGTTTGTTTGTTTGTTTTCTTTCTTGGTTGGTGCTCTGTGGTTGTGCTACAACAGTGGTAGTTGCTCTTGCACAAATAGATGGGCAACGGCATGACCGGTAGGCAAGCGACGATGAATAGATTTCGGTTGCTTTACTTGATTCAAGCAATTGGAATCGGCTCCGGTATCTTCTTGCTTGAACGAGGGCGGCGGCAGCTATGGGAACACGCACCACGACTCCGAGAAATTGTCCTAGCAGAGGACGAAAGAATCCTCGCTGAGTACAAATGGCGAAGGTATGGTGATTGAGCAGAGGACGAAAGAATCCTCGCTGAGTACAAGTGGCGAAGGTATCGTGATTGAGAAGGAAGCGGGAGGGGGCAGAGATGAAGCAAGGTGGGCAAATCCAAGCTGAGGGCTAGCATTCCAGAGTCCAGATACATTTGATGACAACAACTAGATCAAGC